CTTAATTAAAAAAATAAATAAATAATATATTTCGTTTGTGTCTCGTTTGTACTGTTTGATTTTTCGTTTGTACCTCAAAGGGTAAAAAGATACAGAGGGGTTAAAAAACTTTAAGATATTTTAATTTCATTAACGTCGTTCGAAAGAGAATTGTTTGTGCACGTTTGTGTCACCTTTCAAATTGTTTATACCTCAAAGGGGATGGAAATACCGAATATTAAAAATTCGCGTAAAGAGTAACTTTTTCATTTTTAAAGATATTCGAATTCTGTAAACGGCAGCTGCTTCCCTATCATTAAAAATTCGCGTAGAGGGTAACTTTTTCATTTTTAAAGATATTCGAATTCTGTAAACGACAGCTGCTTCCTTATCGTTTGTGCCCGTTTGTACCTCTTTTCAAATCGTTTGTACCTCGAAGGAACCAGAAGTACAGGCTTTTCAATATGCGTCTAAGGGGTAGATTCGCTATTTTTCGAGATATTCGAATTCTGTAAACGGCAGTTGTTTCCTTATCGTTTGTACCCGTTTGTACCTCGAAGGAACCGGAAGTACAGGCTTTTCAAAATGCGTTTAAGGGGTAGATTCGCTATTTTTTGAGATATCGAAAAACGGCCGGCGGCATTTGAAATAGAATTGTTTGTATCCGAATGTGTACGTGTGCTTCACAGCAATGACAGGGGCCTCACGATTCGTCACTCCCGCAGTTTTGGACTCCAAACCCTGTCTCTGTTGTATCGAAATAAGAAAATTGTTTAAAATAAGTTAAGAAAATTTTTTTTAAACTTAAAATTATTTTAAAAACTTTTTCAGTAATCTTTCCTTCGAGTATAATTACGTTGTATTCTGTTTGCTCGATACGTAATAGAAAAGTCTCGAATTTGCTGCGTTACGCGCGTATCTCAAGAATAGAAATTGTCAATTGTTCGTCAAGCGCAGATCTCCTATGCATAAGCCTCGATGATCCGTAATGTGGAGAGAAAACTTGTCTCCCACTCCGTCCTCTCCCTACTCCTATTTAATCTGAAACGGCGCTCCAGTCGCTATGGAATCACGACGTTTTCCCACCTGTTTTCCCCACCGAATTAAATATTTTTGTGATTTAGTATAATACCTTTCATCATAATAAATTTTCAATTTAATTTTTTGTACTTTAATACTTTTTTATACAGAATATCCTAAAGAGTCGATTTATGTAAAGTCAAAAATATATCATTCGATTTCAACAAAGAAAAAAACAGATGATTTTGAAAATTCATAAATAAATGATCTACAGGAAAAATTCGTTTTACCATCCAGAGTATCATTCAAAACAATAGTAGTGCAATTCTCATTATTTATTTATAGAAAAAAAGCTTCCACGAAACGTTTTTGGATTAATTAAATATGAGTAATGTAACAATTTTAATTTAATTTTGTATTTCATATTATTTTCATTTTTTAAATTTTACGTTGTTTCTCTGGAAATTATTCTTCCGAAATATATGAAGTTGTTTTGTTTAAAAATCATACATTCAATTTTAGATTAATATATATTCTTGTATATGTACTATATGTTTGAGTCTCGATGAACCCAGAATTCCGATATTCAAGTGTTGATATTTATTTTCTATAACGTTAGTAATTATTTCACAAAGTTTGTCGACAAAAATATAATCTTTTCAATAAATTTCACTAATAAAAATGAATGCTAATAGTTATACATATACTTTGTTCTAAGCACCTGCTTCATAAAACGACAAATAAGAAATATCATATATTTTCATTTACTTATGAAAACTCCTATATCTGGATACCTATTCCAGACCAGACTCTCGTTGTTACATGTCAACAAAATACGAAGTAATTAAAAAGTTGATGGTGATGACAGTGCTCCGAAATAAACGAGAGTACATAATGTCGGGAAAGCCACAATTACTGATATTAAAAATCAGAAACGTGCTATTGGAAATTGTAGCCGTCACTGTATAGCGTACCAACAAGAAAAGTAGTAACCGCGATGAATAGATGTAATGGAATAGTTTTACTAAAATAAAGACAATAATAGTGAAAGGCAAACTGTAATAATAGTGAAGGTATGTCTTCTTATACCGAAACATTCATGGAATTAAAAATGAATTTTAATAGTTATGAAATATGGGGCACAATAAGAACATAAATCGAAAATTTGTTTCCTTTAGCAATCGAAGAATTATATAAACGAATTGTTAATTTGCTAGAATACTATTTCAAATTATAAAGTTTAACCCTCGGCTGGTGGATGCCAAGGCACCGCAGTGAGTTACTGTTGACCCAAAATAAAATTTCTCTTTCATGTGTTTTCAAACAAATTTTTACCTTAGATTGTTGTTTATTTTATTTGATTTTTACTGATCTCTGTTTAAAAAATGATAATAATACGTAATAGTTTCAAAGAAAGGAAAATACACATATTTATAAATAATAAATGAAAAATATTTATTCCAGCAATTTTGTACGATTTGCACATAATACGCTTTTTTGCGTAATTGCATAAACATGGCAAATATGTTGGAAGTCTAAACAAAACAGAGTAAGGACTTGAGTTACACATGACACGGCGTACACATTCACCGGTGGAGAATTGATAGTAGAAAATTGTTATTTTCTGCTGCTATTCTGCTATCGTAAAATTCCACACGACTACTTATATACTGTTCTATTATTTCAGATGAAGAAAGTTTATCTATACCTACGTTTATAAAGTCATGATAAAAACTTGTTAATTTTATATTGATTGATCATTAATTAAACACATGTGATTTTTTTCTATTTATTCAACATTTCGACCATTAGAGGTACTTACTACAGTCAATTTGTATTTTTCTTAGATACTTTTCTGTTGGAGAGACAAGGATAGCTCAATAGTCAAGCAACCATGTTGACATAAAAACGGCTTGAATTTAACAATTTCGTAGCTAGTTTAAAAATTTTTTAAGTGAAGAAGCCGTATTTTGAGACCTCCTTAATAATATATTAATACGGTTGATTAAAATCGAACTCATAATTTGATCAGGAAATCGAAACCAACAATTCAAATGACTTAGAAATCCATTGAAATGAGAATTTTAAATGGTATAGTAAACAGTATGTCAAATTATCGTAAATGTATAAAGTCATACTCTTGAGCTATGTATTAATTGATCCCAGAATAACTGATATGAGTCAAAAAAGAAAAGACACGTGTATGTATATTTTAAAATTTTATTATATTAAGGTATGTTTCCCGGTAATTAACCATGACTGGAAAGGTGAATTTGAACGTATATAATATTCATATTCATATTCACCACTGACTGGTGCATTAAAATTGAAACAACAGAATTATTCAAAGAGGAAAAGAAAAAAGGGACGTTTTAATTGCAATTATTATCTACATACTAATAATGTAAAATGGCAAGTTGAAAATTTCGATGGAAAAATTAAATTAAATCAAATCAGGCTTTGGCAGGAAAAATGGGGGTATTCTCGGTTCTTCCCCTTCCCCATAGACATCCCATGAGAAATGGTAATGTAGGGAACGGGCCTCACGTATGTAAGAGTCTGTTGGATGACGTTTAAAATTAATATACATCGATAGCAATAGTGAAAATAATTGTAATTTATTATAATGAATTTATAAATAATAATTGAAAGGTACTCTAATTAAATGAATGCATTATAGGTGATTTGATAAACTGGAACATATCAATCAGTGCGTTGGCCTTCTTAAACTATTGTTTGAGATGGATAACACTAAAAACCTGAAGTACAGTTGCTATTAAATCGGGCTTCGCGGGGGGAAATGGTGATGCCCTGGGTTTCAATCCTTCTCAGGAGACGGTCGCGAAAAGAATGACGATGTAATACAAGGACGTCATATTATACAATGTATACATAAGTCTATGACCTTCCACCCTTTGCGTATAAACGTTTACGCAGGAAAATATGAATTCATATTTATTTTTTATTTGTTTCTTAGTAATATATTAAAATTAAAAATATTTAATAATTAAAATTAAGAAATCTTGCTTCCCCTGTATCGCAATTTTCCCTCGGAAAGCCTGATTTGATCGCGACTATGTCCTATCGCTTAATAATAACTATAAGACAAACATCCCGTTATTAGAACCTACGTAAATTAGAGCGCTACTATGTTTCAGTTAATTAGTAAGAAATGAAAGATCATTAGTTTGCTGCATTGTTTTTTTATTTATTATAATAAAATGTTTACCATTTTAATATTCTCTTAAGTAAATGGGTTTATAAAAATCAATTTTTGAGTAAATATCCTTATGTAAAATGCCAGTGGTTTAACTGTTATCTGTCCGGTGTTTTTCAGCACTCTAAATACAAATGTTTGCTGAGCCTTAGATCCACTTGAAAATATTAAAACCTTAAAATTTGGGGTAGACGTATATTTTTGTGGTGCATTGTAGCACAGGAATGATAACAGAAATATTAAGCTTTAAACATAACATTGTACTGCATTGTTTATTTATTAACAGTTGACAATATTCTTAAAAATCACGTTATTAACAATTCAAATATGACGACATATTGGAAAGACTGAAACTAAAATTTCTAACGCGATTTACTCAATTTATTTTTTGCAAATATGCTCCCCTTTCAGAAATTTCTTGGATTATAATATATATTTTTCAGTCGTGTAACTTACATATTATTAAAAATTCTCAATTAACTATATTTAATTTACAACATGTATATTTAAAAATAAATAAGAACGCAGTGGGCGATCAAATTATTGAAGCTTCAATAAAAAAATGTGTTTTTCATGAATAATAATGCCTTCAATGTTGATTAGAGAGAATTAGAGAGAACAATAATAAGAATTCAGGGTATCTAGATTTTTATTTAAAAATGAATTATTTTAATGTAAAATCATCAATTTATGCAAAAGGCTCTAATAATTTCATCATTTACTGTGATGTTTCTAAATATTTATAATAGCAAATACATGCAATCAATTTCTTCCTGTTTGGCAGGTAGCGTGGCTTCGTGTAGACACGCAAACGATCCTCACGATTGCGAATCATGTCATTACGAAAAATCATCGGATCGCCGTGACGCATAGCGGTCATCGTGCGTGGTCTCTTCACATCAGGGATACCAAGGAAACTGACAGGGGATGGTATATGTGCCAAGTCAACACTGACCCAATGTCCAGCAACACTGGCTTCCTGGAAGTAGTCGGTAATTAATGCTTATACAAGTTATACAAATGCTTAATAACAATTAACCATTGAATAGTAATATAACTACTTATCATATGTAACAACAGTTAATCAATTAACTTTCATTAGTATGAGATTCTATGATAAATACATCTCTGCTTAAGGTGACAAAATATGTATAATATATTACTTAATTTGATTTTTATTAAATATTGGTCATGCGTGGTCATGGTTGAGTATCAAATTGAGACATATCAGATTTGACATGGTTTAATAATATAAAAGTATGATATTTTGTCAATAAATGATTTAAAGGGGGCTTTTAAAAAGAATTAAAAAAATACAGGGTGATCAAAAATATATCAATTCAAAGTAAATTAATATCAGGTCTTGTAAATGTTAGAACAGTAAATGGGCTCATTATTACGAAAAATTTAACGGAAGCGCTGTTTTTTCTAAATATACAATTTTTAGCGACGAGTGCCAAAAACACTTCTATTAAATCAAATTGTTATTAAACAAGCTTTCCGTTTTGAGGACACGAAAATTCCTTATTTCTCCATTCCAACGTTCACAATGTGGACAGCAGTATTTGTTAAAGAAATACATTTGAAAATTATAAATGAGTCAATAACTAATGAAAGGGTATAGCAGGATAAAATAATAGAAAAATTGAGCCGATTTTACCCGGCAACGCATTTAATAGTTGACCAAAATAAACCGTTATACACCAACTTTCAACTCTGTATCTCAACCGGAAAGATAATTACAGGCTAAAATAGAAATAGCGATTTTTGCCATATTTTCTCTATTTAATGGTATGCAAAAAATTTGATAAAATTCTAGAATATTCTAGACATGTTTATTTATGATATTAAATTTTTTCAGCTTTTTTGTTTACAAATCCTGGGCATGAAAAATTAAAAATGCAAAAAAAGTCAAGAAATAGAGATTTCTGGTAAAAGTTTTTGGGGAACTAGATTCTTACTTTTACACTAGTTAGATATTAGCATGAATATTATCCTTAAGTTTTTTCAGATGTTTCGGTATGGTGTACCGTACTTAAAGAAAAATCAAAAACCGGTATTTTCGACATATTTCGTGCGATGACATGAGAAATAATTTCAATTCTTACATTTCCTTTATACACTTAGTGTATTATACTGAATAGTGGGAGTTAAGTTAATGTTATTAATTATGCACCTTACCTTTTAAGATATTAGAGAATTTCGCAAGGTTGGCAGTAGCATAACGATTAACTGTCCGTAGGTTCGCGCTCTACAAAGGTCCAATTTTTTGTTTTCATAAAATCATTTTTTTTAAGTTATTAATTATATAAGAATAAACAATAATCATTTAATAACATTTAAAAAATATTTTTAATATACCTTATCATTAAGTGTACATAAAAATAATTTTGGAGCGCTACTGGTTCTCCGGCTATGTATTGGTCTAATTACGGATAATTTATGATGGATATAGAAAACAATATATATTTTACCTTAATTAAGTGAAGATGTATTACAACAAAGTTGATCCCCGACGTTCTGAATCCTCTGTTTGGTTTCGTCCCTTTTGCGTGAATGTACCACCTTCTCTTTTCTTTTTTTTTTTTTTAACGGGGAGAAATCTTGCATAAGACACCCCCGCCCCGTCAGGGCAGGGGTAGTGTCGGATTCTTACCGACTAAAACTCCTCGGTGGTCCTCCATCCGGCGGCATGGGGGGGAGCCGTGATCTCTTAGGCCGCGTTCAGACTATGCAATTTAGTTGTACAACTTTCCGTGCAACTTCGGGTCCGAATTTCTGTGTTTCTGGCCGTGCCTGTACCAGGTATGCCGTCCGTAAAAGAAAATGGTTTTTTCTCGTAGAAAATCATTCGGACCCTCAGTTGCATGGAAAGTTGTACAACTTTATTGCATAGTCTGAACGCCCCCGTCGGGACGTCTTTCCCCTAGGAAGCTCCCACTGTCTTCTCAACTGCCGATACCAGGGACCACTACTAGTGCCGGCCCTTCGCTGATGGACGGCGACTCCCACGCTGCAGGGAGACGAGGCAGTGGTCCTAATGCCCCGAGCCCCCACCCCTTCCCGCCGTCGTAACTTCCTCATGCCGTGTTCCACGTGACCGGGCTCCAAACAGCGGTAGCACTGGAGGGGGCGAAGCCTTGCCTCCAGCCACTCCACTCGTATCCTCCTTTCAGGCTCCAGATCAAATAGCTTCAAGCGGGCCCTGGACCCACACGCTCCCCAATCTTGCGGGGGAGGCGTGAATCTCCCCAATCTTCAACTCCTCCGCAGAGCAGTCGCCTTCCCTCGCAACCGACGCGACGCGGCGATGTCCTCCTGCGTCGCCGACGGGTCCAGATCGAAGACCCTGATTTCCGCCCTCTTTGTAGGGCGGCCGGCCCGGACCCCAGTCTCCTGGAGAGCCTCCCTCATCCTCGATGCGACGGCGTCGGCGTTGGCCGAGACCCCCGGTTACCGCCCTCTTTGGAATGAGCCTCTCGATCCCAAAGTCCGCTAGGTTGATGTTGTCCTTGGCCACCTCGTGAATGTACCCTGTTAGATATACCTCTGACATACCTCTTTTTGTTCAGATGATGGGCACATAAAACTTTATTATAACGATACTTATCTTGATTTTTAAAATACTTATCACCATATCTGATAGCACCATTTGATATGACTTATAATTTTAGTCTTCGTCACTGTCTTCGTTAATGACGGGCATTATTTCGTCTTGACGAAATATGGTGCTTAAAAGTTCAGCAGGTCTAACAATTCGTGCCTGGTACCGTGCGTACGACAGGTAGTAAATAATTGCTGCTACGTGTGAACAGCAGCCGATGGTACGATTACCGTTCACACATTCGCAGCAATAACGTTTTATCCCCGAAATATTAATCGAATCTGGTGTATAATCTATATAGCAACTATAAGTTTTACCGTTTATATGGCGCGATTGTATTTGAAATTTAACGATATGATCTTTGTGTTTGATGCCAAATATATTAATATTATTGTCCACGTCTATGGTTTCAGCTAAATATGAAATTGCCTGAGATAATTGGTATGACCCGGTAAATAAAATTTTTAATTTGTTCTCTGACAGTTCCGGAAACTCTAATAGTTCAGTTGTTGATACCCGCTTGAATGGAATTTTTCGTCTATTCCAATGATATTTTTCAACGTCTATGGCCAATGTATTTTCATCAGGTTGACTTCTCATTCTCTCTATTATTTCGTGGGAAAGTTCTATGTCATAATTTAAACGTTTAGAAAATCTGTTATATAAAAAGCAAGCAATTTTAAATAATAATTGAATTTGTGGTAATGATTTGTTATATATTTGACGGTGCAGAAGTTTATAATTTTGAACTATGATGGCGTGAATTGCTTCAACGACCGAATTAATTTTCGTGATACGCCGAGAGGCATTTGATTGTACAGTTGTAAGTTGATTACGTTTTTCATTCAAAACAGGCATCAGTACTTGAAAACCTAATTCTTTTAAAGATGATTGTACATCATGAAATTCCCTACCGCCTATACAAATGTCTCCGCGTTTCATGATGCTTTGTAGGCCATTTAGATCTTGCAAAATGGTTTTCATTATCTGAGCATCATTTTGATCCGCATGGAAAGGTCCAAGCACATCAACAACGTATCCATTCGTTGTGCAGACAGTATACGGTTTACACAGCGGAACGTTATTCTGATCAGAATACGATTTCCGTTGATACTCGTTATTAGTACTCGTTTGATGCCTGATATATGTACCATCGAAAACCAGTGCTAATTGATTGGAAATATTACACAGCTGTTTGGCAATGTCGGAAGTTTCATTATCTATTAAATACTCGCGAGAAAAGGAACCGAACCCGAAATGAATAGGTAAAATATCTTTCTGAAACGACGTTAAAACAAATTTACAAAAATTAGATACTTGTTCGTACTCTAAACCAAGAATTGCTGCTATCATACTATTTGAGCTACCTGTACGTAATTTAAATAAGAAAACAATAATGGCTTGTATAATATTGCGAGTTTCTGAACTTTGCATTGAAGTCATTAATTCCCGAAGACTAATAATATTTTCCCAAGTTAAACCCGTTAACACTTTAAGAAGTTCTTCCGATAACGTAAAATCACCTACTTTATTTTCAATTTCAGAATCGCTACTAGTTGCAATTAATTCAAAGTAATTCCTTAATTCATTTGCTTCTACTAAACTACTATTAGAATGAATGTCTAATCTTTCAATAATATTGTGATACAACCGTTTGTTTAGTAAGTGACTAGGGCAGCACCGATTCCCTTCAGGTACATATAATCTGCGCATCGCAAATACCTGCTTGCGTGTTTCAAATGGCACGTTGATGATACCCCGCTTGGACCCACAGACAAAACAATACAAATGAGAGGTAACCACCCGGGAAAATGGCACTTCTATATGTTCGAAATTCGATTCGTCGGAGAGAATATCTAAAACAAATGACTGGTCTATCGTTAATGTTGGATCAGAATAACTTGACGATTCTTGAAGCGAAGAGGATGTATTAGCTTCCGGTACAAAGGTTTCAAGCACAGACGTTGAGATTGAAGATGAAACATCCCGGGATGTTCCAGGTAACGGTTCCTCGACGAAAGACGTAGTAGCTGAAGATGATGGGATCTGGGATGTTGGAGTTAAGGATGCTTCGAAATTGGATAGTGTTACTGAGGAAGTACTAGGTGACGGTGTAAAGGATTCTATTGCAGTAAATTGGCTACTTTTATAAATGAAATTATGACAGTTATTACAAAGTACGTCACCAACAACCACCACTTTGTCTAAAATCCGCGAGAATTTAACAGCCTCAGCTACCGAATTAATTTTCTTTTTTGACCCGTATGACTTTCGAATCATAATATTGCACCTAATGCATCTGGCACGCACAGTTTTCTTGCAGACAGATTGAACACTACCAGTAGACATGTTGACAAGTTTACCGAACACTTAGCAATATGTTCACCGTTTGGAATTTAGTCCAAGACTGATCAAGTTTCTCTAACGTTTCCTTGGAGTAAGAGTTCTTACCGCAGAGGGGGTATGTTTGAAAAAATAAGTAGGGAGAATATTGTTCTCTTTGATTGGCTGCTGTAGCTTTCTGGAAAAGGGTGGGGTGAAACCTGTAGAAAGGCGAGGACTCAAGCAAGTCATCGATGCTACGGTTTTTCCAGGTTGACCGCTCAAGGGTCCACGTACCGCTTTTAATTTACCCTTCGGAAGATTGCCTTTATGACATACCTCGGTTATTAAGAACGTGAAGATATTGAAATTCTAAAGACTACTACGACTAGGTATGTATTTTGACAATAGCACAGCCGCAATAAAGCATAAAATCCAAACAGGCAGATGGGGACTTATTGTACAGAACTATAGAGCGATTTGTAGGGACAAAATCGTAACATAATTTTCAAATAGCTACGAAAAGGCTTCTGAAATCGTTTCAAAGCAGCTATTTCTAATTATCTGTACCATAACGTTTAAAGCAATTTCGTTTCATGTTAAGAAAGGGTGATGGTATTTTTCCAACACTGTCAATTTTCAATAATCCCAGCATAAAAGACCAGCTGGTGGGTACGAATACAATCACCTTCGAAAAGAAACAATTCTTTTTACTTTTAACTCTTTTTTGTTATGATTTCTCATAATGTATAAAACCTAAAATAGTACCAGTAATTCTAAAATTATTTTTACGTACACTTAATGATAAAGTATTTTTAAAAGGTTTTTTAAAGGTTATTAAATGATTATTGTTTATTCTTATGTAATTAACAATTAAAAAATTGATTTCACAAAAAAAAATTGGACCCTTGTAGAACGTGAATCTACGACACAAAAGTTTTCAGCGATGCAGCAGTAGGACATCTGAACCGTTTTTTCTTTTGTTACCGTATGTTTATTGCCAATAAATAGTGTTTACAGAGAACAATATACCTAAACGTACAAAGGGTATAATAACAACATACAGTAATTATGAGATTAAATGCTGTATTTAATTAAATCTGTACATTAATATTATCTATTGCACTTACTGCACATTAATGTATATCTTATACTAATTGTAAGCTTAATTGCTTATACATTAATCCTGTAGTGTACTGTTTCTTAAAAATTTTTTAATTTATTAATTTACTTAAATTTTTAATTAATGTAACTCATATCTATCTAATAAATATTTTATTTTGATTTAAATTTCTTTTATTTCATCAATAAAATCTTAATTCTAATATTAATATAAAATTTTTAAACAACAATACAAAAATAATCTCATATTTTATTAGTATTTCTTATCATGGATCATCAAATTAATATACAAGTTCCCTTAAAACTTTATATGTATAACCGCCATATCTTATAATTTTAATGTTTTACATTTAATAACTAAACTCATTTTTTAATTAATATAATAGGGTATCTAATCCTAGTTTTAATACTTTAAATTTTAAAGTTTTAAAGTTTAAAACATAAGGTGCGTATTGCGTACACATTTTTATAATTAATAACATTAACTCCCTCTATTCAGATCTTGCTCCGTCCAGTGCAGGAATATTAAAAATCACATAATACAATACTAAGTGTGTAAAGGAAATGAAAAATTTGAAAGTATTTCTCATGTTATCGCACGAAATATGTAGATTTTGTCTATAAATAATTTACAATTATTTTTTTAAAATGGATTTACACCGTTTCCCAACTAAACAGTCAATATAAATTGTACTTTTCTTCATACACAATGTTTGCCAAAAAATGATCATATAATTGGGAAACTGTAATTTATTTTCTATAGTATAATAAATCGAGAAATTCATCAGTATTCCAATAATGGAACATAAGCGATTGAAAATTGGATATTTGTTATTGGACAATATTCAATCGTAAATTGATTAGGTCACTGTTCAATTTAACAAAGAATAATGTATTTTGTTTAAATTTTATGTGCACATTTTTAGATTGGTCTTCGTTTGCTGTAACTGGCAACTAGCCAGTTGTTTATATTCAGAACATTGATGAAAGGTTTACATAGTCATGTTTATGTAAATTTAAGCTTCAGATTAATTATAGAATTTTGTATCACAAAAAGGTGTTAGATCTTCTGTACTTCGAAATCTGTCATACTGTAAGCAATAGCATATTAAATTATATTTTAATAATACACTTGGATATACAACAAAAATAATTAACTATTTAATTTGTGATCAAAGTATTGAAACATCGGATAACTATTTCTAAACTATAAAAGTTTCAGATATTTTTCTTTTTTTACATCCAAACTCGAACTGAAATTGAAAATCTTTAAGATTCTATTCATTGATTATAAAATAACGGCTATTAGCTTGAACACAGTTTCTCGATTTACAATTGCTTTCTGGAATTTATGAATTTGATTCAAATAGAGTGTTGTACAAGTTAATCAATCTGATCAATTGTTTTTCTTCTTACATAATACATAATACATAATGAGCAATTTCGGCATATGCATTGCATAATATTAAACTAACATGTATTTCAAATAACTTAATTTTTAAAGTTCGATGAGTAAGTAACTTCTGTTTTATTACTGACCTTGTTTTTATTGTGTCGTAAATTCATTTCACCCTTAACTGGTAAGGTAGGCTCTGACATACTAATTATAGATAATTATCCAATTATTCTATTTATCTAACCGATTAAAGATAAAAACATAATTATCCTGAAAATGCAAATACATAAATATTAAATAAACTTAACGAGTTAAAAATATCCTACAAAAGAAAATTAAACAACATTTAATTACAATTTGTTTAACAATTTTGTTATTTCTCAAAAAATACGTTTTATAAAATATTTGCAGCGCAATACGTTATCTCAATTTATGACGATTTATTACCCTCAATTAACACTTTTAGCAATATGTTTTTGCATACTGTATAAATATTAATTTTTCCTTATCATTTAAAGATCGAATGTTCCAATTCATTTTTCGTAGGACCGTTAACTTCAGCTACATTTTTTACAACTTTCCCATCACAGTTGTTGTAAATAATTGTGTTAAAATTTATTGTGCAGTATGTATGCAATAATGCTTTATTAACATAATCAATGATCAATTTGCCACCTTTTTAACATCCTCTTTTTGTTCTTTCTCAAAAATTATCGGACCAATTAAGTGTTAAGCCTATGTTATATAAAAACGTGAAAAAGTATAATGATATAATTTGAAAGTAACAAAATACTTTTAGAGACGGAAAAGTTCGTTGCATTTAAGTTACTGCAAGTAGCGAAATTCCTCGGCATCATCCTTAAATGTCAGCAGCGTACTCGCTTTGATATTAAATATTTCAAAGAAGCAGATTCTGCAGAAGCACGTAGACGAGCTGTTATAGTAAATATTTGCAAACAAACCGTGCATCTGAAACTGCTGATGAATTTGTATTGCGTGTCTTTTTGAAACTAACAGTGATCTTAAAGCTGTCTCTGCGAAACTTGACTAAGCACTGACAGATTTAGCGTTCTCCATGTGTACGTAAAGTAAGTATGTACGTAACTCGCCCTTTACTGGCGAAGCATCCTTATTCCGCGACCGTGTATCAACTGATCCTTCCTCGGAACTTTCTTGCCATTTAATACCAACGTTCCTGTTACCACCAACTTGTCAAAGTTCGCCAACTGCGGTCACCTTAACATCCACCGCGCTGCCACTATAAAGTCGTGATTGCCATTAAGAAACAGCGATATTTAATCCTTGATTATTTCCCCAGCAGTTTGTCTTAACGCGCACCGCTGGTCGCCGACGTATAAACTTACGGAACGGCTAAATTAAAGATGTGCGGTTTTGCACCATCCAGCCTCACGGTAACGAAGTTTCCTCTACGGCGGAGTTATTAAGCCACTTCCGAAGATTAGTTCAATCAATATCGCTGTGAAAACTAATTACCTTGTGTATCAGGAATATCCCTATTTGCTGAGGGTGTTGGGGTACCCGAAAATTCGGGTCGGACGCGGGTCGGGAATGTTTCTTGTGGTTCAGATGGGGACCTGAAAGTATCCGCAATTTCGGGACCCGAGACCCGAGACCCGAGACCCGAGACCCGAAAGGATCTAGCCGTATAAGTATAGTGTAAGGGTGGTATTGCCCAGGGCCACCACGCAGGTACAGCTGTCCCTGCGTTTTCCTAGATACGCACGAATGTTTATAACAAATGAATTGGACGACGCCGATGTACGACATTCTCGATCAAGCGATTGAATAATAAAGTTCATGGAAACTATTTAAGATATTCCAATTTAAGATTACATCCAATTATATACAATAACATATGAAAACACTTTCAAACTTAATAATTAATTGTATGTCTGATAAATCATGCCTCGAATACTAGAGTTGATATTCGGATCCTAAAATGACGAGTACCTGAACAAATACATGTGTCAGACAAACTTTTGTATTCCCGCTTTTCCCAACCCAGGGCTCGGTTATCTGAATTTACAATTCTACTATTTATTCATTAGTGAAATAATAGCAGAATTGTCAGGGCTTCTTTCGTTTCTGATTTCTTAAGAAATTCTAAACAAAATGCTAATCTTTGGACAGTGGACCATGAAGAAAGCCTCAATTTTAATTTAACCCCTTGCCCTATAATAGCATGTTACAGTCCTGACGCAACTTATAGTTCAGATGTGTTAAATTTGGCTGGTACTTTTAATTATAATTATAATTTACCCAGTCAGGAATTGTTGAATTTCATCTATGTGTGCATAATATTTCAATTTTTTTATTTGTTTTAAAATTCAAGCAATGAATAGACTGACACAATTATAAAGAAAAATCATAAGAGAAAAGGTTAATTTAGTATTATATATTAGTTTTATTTTCTAACAATAATACATTTATCTTTAGATTATTATCTTTGTATATGTTTTGTAAGTTTGAGTAACGGTTGTCCCAAGCTCCACTGTTCAAGGGTTAAATAGAAAGTTGTGGGATTTAAAGCTCGTCAGATGAGTTTATTGAATTTTGAATCTAGATATCAGCCCCAAGTTGAATATTTATTTCTACAGTCATAGCCAGTGCCGGCTTTGGATAGGGAGCAAGTTTGTGCTACCGTGCAGGGCGATGAACACCCAAGGATACTTGAAATCTTTTTTCAACCGGAAAATTTTTCTATGCAAGTAAATGCGTGGAGATCTCGTCCAGGGTAACGGACACCTTATGGTCTTGTTCGTAACGCAGTGGGTTTATGTTTTAAAATGT